GGTATCGACAGTGAATATAAATTTCGTCTTATTAGAAGTAAGTTGAATGTAAAAACAATTTATTCTGCATGCAGTCGCCCGTATCTAAAAAATATTTCTGCACCATTACGGAGATGCTGTAAAATTGTAGGCCTCTCCAGACAACATCAGATAAAAAAATCGGAGAGGGCTACATTATTGCAGCTAGAGATGTATAAGTCATTCAGCTTTATAAACAAAAATATATAAATTGATTATAAGTATTAAGAGTATTTTGGCATGATTTAAAATTAAATTCTATGAAATTCAAAATGCTTTATTTACTACCATTCCTACTGAAGCTGTAAAGTACGGGAAAAAGTAAATTAAATTGATTATGACGTCAAAATGGATCTAGCGCAGGCTAAATACATAATTTCATACCACGTAGGTTCTACGTTAACATTTCTACTTTGAATTTTTTGGATTATAGATTTAATATTTTTCATTAAAACACAACAAAATTGCCACTTTTCTTAAGTATTAATAATAAAATTAAAATTTGTGAAAGTGCAAGCATGTGTCAATCAAACGCGTCCAGAAATTTGAAGTTTCAATAACTTGGCACAAAATCATACCAATAAGAACAGGCACTGAGTTGTTTAAATGTTGAAAACTTATTCAAAAGCTAATATAATTAAAACATAAATACCTTTACATGTTGGCTTAACTTTACATTTACACTCTCTTATGATACAATTAGGAGGAGTAGGTAACATATTGAGATCTGAGAATGAAGTAACATTATTACTGACAAATTCTGTGTAAATAAGATAAACGAAGTGTTTTATAGTAAACATAAGTATAAACAAACTTGTCTTACAATAGTTATAAGGCATATTAGTCAAACTCGATCATCTGCGGGTGAAAGTGGGATATTACAGTATAAAGAGAGAAAGTTAAGGATGAAAAAGCTTATGTTATCTAGTTTGTTATATAGTTTAGTAAGTTTTTGTTTTTCGAGCTTGTTTTTGTTTTGAGATTTTCAACATAGTGGGAAATGAAGTTCGTGCATTGGTTTGCAGTATTATTTATTCAGTTTAATTCAAATAAAAATTAAAAAGAATATATAGCTGTCAGGTTTTTACTGCATGTTTGACAATTTGGATAAGAACGTCCATTAATATTTAGTGAGGAAAACCAGTGATTTTTTTAAAATAGATTTTGACACTTTGCCGCCTTTTTGAAATATAATTGAAATATAAATATTTTTTTTTAAATAGATAGTTTGCATATTCAAAGGCTATTGTACGGACATTTTTGGTTTCATCTCTCATCAGGATGAGTACAAATATTTGCAATGGATAATTAAATTTCATGATGCTATAGACATGAAAATGATCTACAAACATTACCGCTGTAGAAAATGTACAGACTCCTTTCATCAAACGAAACATTATTTTAAAGTATTATGTCTATTTTAAAAGTAAACAATCAGATTGGACAGTTTGGTCAACGTTTTGGATAAAATATAAAAAGTATTAATGATTTTCTATGGAAATAAAACTCAAGAAAAAAATAAATCAATGAAAATCAGATAGACCAGGGTAGCTGCATATTAAACGTAAATATAAAGTTTATCAAATTTCTTACTGCAATCTCAGCGATACTAGTTTTTTTTGGCTTTATGCCTTTTTTAAAATTATTTCATTCATAAAATTGTTTCATCCATAAAAAAGTAGCCCGCGTGGCGCAGTGGTTAGAACGTCTGCACTAGGGTCGCCAATTAAGGAGTTGATTCGAATCCCACCGTGGGACTTGGAGACCGGTCCTTCGGATGAGACCGTCTAGACCGAGGTCCCGTGTTGCAGTGAGTGCTGGCTCGAAAAAGATCCCTCACTGCTCAATGACCGTACGTTCCGAGTATTAGACAAAATTTGCAGCACGGGTAAGTGCTGGCGTCTCCACCATATGAGTGAAAAATTCTCGAAAGGTACGTTAACAAACACGCAATAAATCATTCCATAAAAAACTTTCAAATTCATTAAAAAGTTATTCCAAAAAAGGAACTAGCTCATTTTTCCTTATCCAAATAATTCAATGTTACAAAACCCTTCTTTGAGCAAGAAATGTCGCCACTTTATAGATGTTCTATAGATGTCATAGATGACTTTCGTCAATATAGGAAGTGATTAATTCATTAAGTTGAGTATACAGAAGGGGTGAAGATAACGAACAGAGTTCGATCAAAAAGAAAAAAAATTCACACAATACAAATCTGTAAGTATTACTCAACGATGGAAATAAGTGTAGAAATTGCGTCGATCGGACTCGAGTCTCGAAATTTACGGGTTTTATCATATATGCTATGATGGAAGCCGAGATAAGTCCGAGTATCCCAAGTGTATATATAACAACACAACCGATGTAATTATAATATGTTCATGCTGCATTTGTCTGGCTAAGACGAATGTTGTCGGTAATTGTAATTGTTGTATTGTCTTTACTGACTTGTTTAACAGCGGTATTCTTACTGTACGTATAGAGGAGCGGTGTTTTTCTAATACCTGGCTGCCCCCTGTATCAGATCAAGGGTACAGCCGTCTAGTGACATGACATAGGTCTCATCCCTGAGACACGTACCCCGGAAAGATACCCAAGACAAAGCCCTGTCCTAAAGAGATAACTTTTGATTTGTTTTTATTATAAAGGGATAGATAACCCGAGACGCATATGAATGTTTTGTCATACTAATTATGTGTTGTGTCATTAAATATACTGTGGAATAAGGAGAGACGCATATATTTATTTGAACATCTTACTGATATGTTCAATTATTACTTTATTTACTTACAGTATTTGTAAACTTGACAAACCGTCAAAGGCATTATCTTCCAAAGTGGTGATTTGATTCCCGTCCAGATACCTGGAAAGTGTTCAGTTCAATTATCGTCAAAAGTATTTTACTTTTTATCAAAGTAATTCTTAAGTCAATAAACTGAAAATTCAACCACGATCATATCAGTTATTATGAAGACTGAAATTAAAACTATCCATTATAATTAAGCTTTACATTTCTGTTGGGTTGATAAATTTTGACTTTTTTATTTTAATTTTTTATTTATTTATTCAGTTTTGTATTATTTATTCATTTTGTGCCAAATCATGTTTTTTATAAACCTATTTCTGAAGGAAAATCGTCACAAACAGAAGCCACCATATCAACTCACTACATATATATTATTATTATGATAGCAGTAATTTGATTGGAAGAGACGGATCACATCTCTGTGGAAATAAGTTACAATCAAACACGTTTTTATTTGTAAAAGAAAATTATGAGTGCATGCATTTACAATGTAAAACACTGCCTAAAATATATTGTTTGGATTCATTTACCGAGCATTTTGCTTTATTTTGAAACCTGCAATTATTTGTTGTAATGATCAAAACATCACATTATACATTTAAGAAATAAACAACAATGTTAAATTAAAAAGTTCTCTAGGAAATGAGCTCGGCTGGTCACGTGATCAAATCCTGTGAAGCCCTTAGAGCTTCTCAGTAGATTTGATCACGTACCAACCAAGTTAATGTCCCAAAGAACTCTTCACATTGTTGTTAATTAATTATATTTACTTAATATATATATTATTTATATATTTACATTTGAAACGAATATTCCGAGTAAAACTGCATTCATTACTCGAACGGGCCGCCAAATTGCTATGTTGTGACGTGCAATGACCTAGAAGTTGTTTGGTCTTGAAAGTTCGCCTCGCTCCAACATTTGAATATTTACATTGATGTTCAGCGGTCGAGTTCTGGAAATTTCTGTTTTATAATGAAAGAACAATGATTGCTACTGAGAATAATCTTACCATTTTTTGAGTTTCAATATATTCGAAGTCAAAAGTGGTGGTTTCGCCTGTTTTAGTTTACATAACTTCAAAGACATTTCGTGCTAAATAGGTTATTGCAATTGTTGCCGAACGCTGAAGTATAAAAGGTGTCTTATTTCTTGGAAAATAGATATATATTTTTTATTTTATAACAATTCAGTTAAAACTTCTGACTTATAGAATGAATTAAAGCGGTGGTAACATCCATTCATATATTTCCGTGTCAAGGCGATTTCGTGTAAAGTAATAAAAAAATAATTACAAAGGTCAGTAGATCTATTGCATTTATACGCTCTTATTTTGATTTTTTAATACAGTAACATATTATGTGTCATTTCCATTTTGATGATTCATTGTGCAGACTTCTACATGTATAATTTAAGTTACCAGTAATACAAATAAACATATTAAAATTTATTGTTATCAGTTCAATTTTCAGAAATTGATAATTAGGTAATATGCTTTTATATTTTTTTATTAAATAGACAAATGTCAGAGAGAGAGAGAGAGAGAGAGAGAGAGAGAGAGAGAGAGAGAGAGAGATTCCCTTTTAGCCCCACTTTATAGGCTTCACTTAATGTTTTTATCTATATCAAACAAAAATTCTGAATTTTTTCTAAATATATCAGACAGTGAATTTAACCTTTTTTGAAATCAACAAATCATATGTATTTATTTGAAAGTCATACTCGTTTTTAATTTCCCGCTTCAAGTTCACACAAAGTCCACGTGCTTGTCCTGTCAATCAAAATCGTTCGACACTGTGCAGTTTTGAAGATTTCGTCACGTGGAAAACAAAGTGCAAGCATTTTGAAACAAGATATATGATTCTAACATCTCAATAGTAAATAAATAAAATACATTCGGCATTATCACTTGAATTAGGAACACTCTGTATGCCAATATTAAATACAACCTCCAACACGTGTACATTTTGAACTACATTATTTTTTACTTATTAAGATGCATCCTTTGAGAATGAAATTTTTGTTCTAAAACAGACCTTAACTTTTTTTTAAAACTGTCATTTAAAATATCCTGGAAATACAGTTCTGGCTACGTTTCCGATTTATGGGGAAAAGTGGGAAGGGTATTAATCGTATAAAGTTTGTAAGACAGTAGACATTTTTTGTGAGGAGGCTGAGAAAAAGTTTTTAAAAAGATTTAACCAGTGTTTACGGCGGAATCCCGAAATAAGATCTTTAGGATCCATCCGTTGTTTTGAAAGGTAAAGAACATTGTATCTATTTCCAGTTGTACGAGTTCGCCACACGATTTCAAGCTAGGTACCTAGTACAAAAAGTTCGTGTTTACTAACGATGTGCATGTAGTTGTGCATAGTGTAATAAGTACGCCAAAACATTATGCGTGAGAAAGTATTGATCATCGGTCACAGTTTTATTGGAAGATTAAAGTGTACTTTGGGGCGATCTGAGGACATAAAGCGAAATTTTGGTCTTGATCTGGAGCAATGTGTTGTGAAGCTGTGCGGTCTCAGCGGGGGCACGCTAGACAGATTTCAAAGGGACGCTAACGTGTATTCGGTGATACAGTCGTTTCGCCCACGTGTTATCATTGCACAAATTGGTGGAAATGATATTTGTAGAGTGAGGATGAAACCAGAAGTGTTTGCGTGTGATTTGATAGAGTGGTTAGAAGCTTTGTTGAAGCAGTTTACTTTCCTTGACAGTGTTTTTATTTGTGAAGTCTTCATTCGCACCCGTCCCAGACACATAGATGTACAGACTTATGAAAGAAGGCGTACCGTTATCAATCAGATGCTAAAGGACATGTGTGAAGTACATAGTTCTATTATGTATTGGAAACATCTTAGACTCATGCACAGCCCATTGCAGATTATTAGTGATGATGGGGTACATTTATCCAGAATTGGGAATAAAAAGTTTTACAGAAGTTTACGGCTGGCAATTATGCATGCTGTTCGTCACCTGGCAAAAGATTAACATGGATGTATATTTCCAATTTCAGTTATGATTCTCCTCCTCTTTATAAGCTTATATAATGGAATACGCGTTTATATAATTGGAAGCGATTATTCAAAAAAAAAAAAAAAAAATTAAATAAATAAATAGAAGCAATGAATTTGCATTATGCTAATCATGTATTTTGGTCAGCATCATCAACCTTAAAGCATGTATTGTGGCTTCAAACCAATTTTGACATTTTCAGCCAGGAATCCTTGTCATAACATTATTCAAACATCATAAGCCTCGTAATTTGGTCTATCGCCATATCAACCCTATAAGCCATGTACTTTGGTTTATAATCGTATCAACCCGATTAACCATGTAGTTGGTTTAGTTTATTATCAGCACTTTAAGCCATATATTTGGTCTATTATATTATCAACTTTTTAAGCCATGTATTTTGGTTATTATACGATCAACTTTGTCAGCCATGTATTTTGGTTTATCAAATTATCAACTTTTAAGCCATGTATTTTGGCTTATTATATTATCAACTTTTAAGCCATGTATTTTGGTTTATTATATTGTTAACTGTTTAAGCCATGTATTTTGGTTCATTATATTATTAACTTTTAAGCCATGTATTTTGGTTTATTATCATATCAGTTAATCTGATAAGCTAGGTAATGACCATGAATTTTGGTTTAAGATTGTGGCAATTGGTATAATGGTAGCATATGAACATTGATTTTAAGCCATGTATTTTGGCATAATATGAATCAAGGGTCATTTCATGGCCTAAGGCAAACCAGTAAATTTAGACATATATTTTACAGTATTATATGGAAGCTGCAAAATGAGGAGGGCCCAAAGATCAAAGAACAAGGAGGAAAGGCCTGCAAAGAGGAGAAAAACGGGGACAGAAGAAAGCCAAATGGTACTGGACATAACGCAAAACGTGACTGCAACAGTCCTTTTGGAGCTTCAAAAAGCAGGTATTTTGCCTAAGACTCCTACCACTGACTCTACTTCTCTGAGTGACAGTGCCAAATCTAGTTCCACAGAAACATTGTCAGGAAAAACAACAACATCAAATGCCACAAAGGAAACCGTATCTAAGGAGACTCCGGTAGAGCAACCCCAAGAGGATGTTGTAGAGCTACCTGCCTCATCAATCTCAGGTTCACAAAACAATTCTGTAATTTCAGATAGTTTTGATAATGACATGTATAAACCACTAGGCAGGCCCTTATACACCAAGGTATCTACGAAAATCAAAGAAAAAATTTGTGCCAATGAAGTCATTGAAATGTCAGATGTGTTAGATCCCCCTTCTGATATAGAGTTTTTAGATTTTCACTTAGCAGTAAAAAACAAAGGTAGAGTGGGTCTGAGTTCAGGGAAGAAGAAGAAGTTTCTGACAATCGAAGCGTGGACTGATGCTTTTAGTATTTACGCTTCGGTTCTCAGACACTTCAACAATACTGAGGTTGATTTGCACGAGGATTTAGCCATCTATATGGATTTAATCAGATCATTACAGAAAGATGGGGGGGACTGGTATCACTATGACATTAATTTTCGAAAGGCAAAACAAGGGGACAGGTCCTTGTCATGGAGACACATAGATCAAGTTCTTTACAGTAGGGCCCTTATGAAAAAACTGGGAGGTTCCCAAGGTAGTGTAGGTTCTTTTCGGAAGCAGCCCTTTCGTCAGTACTGCTTCAGGTTCAATGAAGGAAAATCATGCCACTCTGAATGCAAATTCCCTCAAATCTGCGCAACTTGCTACAAAGACCACCCAAAATCCCAATGTTGGAAAAATAATGACAGAGCAAATTACAACAAAAGACAAACATACACAAAAACTAGCTCTTCCCAATCTGTTGATAAAAAAGATTAATCATCTTCCCACCCCCATCAGAATAAACAGATTAGAACATTATTTAGAAGGGTATGACAATACTAAAGCACAGTACTTGATAAATGGTTTCAAATACGGTTTCAGTCTAGAATTTACAGGGGAAAGGGGACATCAATTCAGTCCTAACCTCAAATCAGCATTAGAACACCCTGACATTGTTTCTGATAAAATTTCCAAGGAATTAAGTGCTGGTCGGATCAAGGGTCCCTTTAGTCAACCACCTTTTAATAATATGAAAATTTCCCCCTTAGGTATAGTTCCTAAAAATTGCCAAATCAGTATCGGTTGATACACCATTTATCTTATCCTAATAGAAAAGAAGGCTCAGTAAACGCGGGAATAACGGATGAGGCAGCAGCTGTTCATTATTCTGGAATTAGTGAGGCTATTTCACATATCAAGGCAATTGGGAGGGTGCATTTTGTTGTAAAACAGACATAAGATCAGCTTTTCGCATTTTACCTGTTTCCCCGAATGATTATGAGTTATTAGGTTTTCATTGGGAAGACAATTATTATTATGACAGATGTTTACCAATGGGTTGCCGCACTAGCTGCAAAATTTTCGAAGAGTTTAGTACTGCCCTTGAGTGGATTGCAGTCCACAGATTAGGTGTTCAGGCGGTTGTTCACATACTAGATGATTTTCTTTTTATTGAAAAATCCAAGCCGTTAGCACTGAAAAAATTTAAAGAATTTCTTGAAATATGTGAAGATATAGGCATTCCGTTAGCTGCAGATAAAACAGTTCTTCCTACTCAGGTCATTGAATTTGTTGGCATAACAATTGACATTAGACTTAAAGAGACCCGTTTGCCAAGTGACAAAATTGAAAAATGTATAGGCTTGTTGTCTAAGTTTCAAAACATAGATAAGTGTAGGGTAAAAGAAATGCAGTCACTTATTGGAGTCTTGAACTTTGCTTGCTCAGTCATACTACCAGGGAGGGCCTTTTTAAGACGTATGATAAATTTGCTTTTAGGAGTTTCAGAAGAGCAAAAATTCTTAACAGTTCATAGAGAGTGTAAGGAAGACATGGCTATGTGGCTTGCATTTCTTAGTAGTTATAATGGCAAAACTATGTTTTTAGAAGAACAATATTTATCAAGTAACTCCATGAAGTTGTTTACTGATGCGGCAAAATCCAAAGGTTTTTCAGGTATTTACAATTCTAGATGGTTTTTTGGTTCTTTCCCAGAGCAATGGAGAAATTTAAATATCATGACACTAGAATTCTATCCAATTGTGCTAGCAGTGTGTATTTGGGGAGATTTGTGGGCAAATCACTCGATCTTATTTTTTACGGACAATGAGGCATTAGTTTCTGTCATTAATAAACAGTCAAGAAAGGATAATAGGGTCATGCAGATGGTTAGATATCTTGTACTCACATGTTTGAAACATAATATCAACTTCCGCGCTAAGCATATACCGGGTAAGAATAATGTTCTAGCAGATAGTCTTTCTCGGTTGAAGGTACAAGAGTTTCTACATTTGGCACCAGATGCACGAAGGGAGCCGTCAGCAATTCCAGAGGAATTGATGCCAAACAACTTTTGGACAACATTGCAAAATTGGCCTCAGCTGCATTAGCCCCTTCTACAAAACTTACTTATAAAAGAGCATGGACAAGATTTGATACATTCTCTGTGTCTTTTAAGATACCCAACAGTGTTCCATTCAGTGTAACTACAGTGGCTCTTTTTGTGTCATATTTGTTTCAAGAAGCCTTCTCTCCCAGAACAATATCAACATATTTGTCTGCAATAGCTTATGTTCATAAGATGTTGAACTTTGAAGATCCAACTCGTGCATTTGTCATTCAAAACTTAGTGGCAGGGGCTTATCAACTAGGCAATACATTCGATATTCGTTTACCCATTACCACAAATATACTGAATCGTCTTCTTGACGTCATCCCAGATGTTATTAGCGATAAGTATACACAAACGTTGTTCAAAGCGCTATTTCTGTTTGCATTTTCATCATTTGCTAGAATAGGAGAGCTGATATGTATGTGCGGCCCCTGAGAAAGCTAGTGATGTAGTACAATTAGCAGATGTAACACTTTCCTCTGTTAAAGGTAAAATCACTGCTATAAATGTGTGTTTCAAAAAATTCAAACATAACTCTAATGGGGTACCAAAGGTCATCTCCTTTGCTCATGGTGATTGTAAAATTTCTGCTATATCAGCAACCACTGATTATTTGAAAGTTAGAACAAATTGCCAAGGTCCAATGTTTGTTTCCAATACAGGATCACCCATTCTGCGTACCACTTTTGACAGAACTTTGCGGAGTTGCTTACGCCTTTGTAATTTGGATAGTTCACGTTATAAAGGTCATAGTTTTCGTATCGGGGCTGCTACTGTAGCAGCAGATAAAGGCCTATCTGATGCCCAAATCAGGTCAATGGGTAGATGGCATTCAAATGCTTTCTTAAAGTATATCCGCTCTAATATGTAAGATACCACAAATTGTACCATGACAAGGGCTTTTCCCCTGCTTAGCCATATAACCCCGTTTACTTAAATGCCAAGTTACCTGCTTGGGCTGGTAGCTCTCATTTATTTCATCTGTTAGAAGATTATTCTGTTTCCTGTTGGGTATGGAACCAGTTCTTAATTTTTGTTGCCTGACATTTGTGACCTGGAAGTTGCTTGCTTGGGCCAGCAGCTTTTCTTAAATTTTGTTGCCTGACATTTGTGATCTGAAAGTTGCTTGCTGGGGCTAGCAGCTTTTCTTGTTTGGAACATGAAAGACTGTAAAACATCACAATTCCCCCATTTTAAGTTAAGTGTATATATATGTAATGACTTGTTACTTGCTTGGGGCTAGTGACTTAATGTATATAATACCTCAGTGCACAGTTTAAGTTTTATTCCTTAGAGTTTAACTATTTTGGGATTTTCAATCAATTTGTACTTCCTTCTAGTCATTAATAAAATTTGAATGAAGTTTTAGAACAGGTTTTTTGGTTTGCTTGTGATACTCTTCGAGTTGGAGCTTAACCGGTTGAGACCTTGTTTCATATTCATGCGTGGCTTCTGGTGGGGTAGTTTCAGAGATTTGGCAAATCTCCTCAACTTTTGGAGCCTTTGGACCTCACCTTCTGCCACTTACAATGATTTTTCTAGTCATGTATGTTTGCATAGAAGTATTTTGGAATATTGTAATTTTGATGTATTATACCACTTATTGTGTTTGCAATGGTTATAGTTACAAAACTTCTAATATACAGGTTTGTAAGTCTAGACTTGTACATTTTGCTAATGCCTGTAAATTGTAATTGGTCTCAACCGGTGTTTGCTTGCTACATTTTGGTTTTTGTATATACTAGCTTGAAATATATCAAGTCTTAATAAACAACAATTTCAACATATACATGTGTGTTAAGTTATAGTATTCTAGGTTACTGTTCATTTAATTTTTGCTGGAAAGAGGAAGCATAAATAAAGTTACGGTAAAGAAAGATTTATTTTCGCTATAACTATAAACTTTTTTACATTATAGTACAGAATATTCTATAGTACATTACATTTTAAATAAATATATCCTTTAATCATACTATCAATTTAATTCGCTCCAAAGATAATTTTACAGGATATCCGCAGTACTATGTATAACTCTCAGAATTAGTTCTATCATATTTTCTGTAGTTGAAAAAAAACGTGTTAGAATTAAATATTTTTTAAATTTTGCTGCATAATTAATTGACTTGGATAATTACTCTCCATTAATGTTTTGTCATCTTTAACAAAACAGCAAAACGTTGCAGGATTTGTATATTGCCCTTAGTTAAATTCAATATTTCAGCACCTAAAAAGGAACATAATGTAATGGAAACAATATTAATTTACAGAGAAAATTAATAAATAACCTAACAGCTAAGTTAGAATAATTAATATATATCGTAAATATTTGTTTCCATGAAAAATGATTCTCCAGACACGATATGTTAGTAATTAATTTTAAAAACCTGTAAATAGTTACCTACCAAAAGATAAGTCCTTTCACTTCATGCCCTGTTCACACGGAGAGTTTAATTCGAATTAAACGTAAAGTTGCTGCGAATTAGCTTTGCTTAGCGTTCACACGGAAAATTTAATGCAAATAAGTTAAATTCGAATTACTTTACTGCACATTAAATTACTTCGCATTTCCTCCGTGTGAACGCTAAGCGAAGTTAATTCGAATTAAATTTTGAGGCATGCGTAATGGCAAATTTAGGTCAAATGCCACATGTCGGTGGTCAGCTTGAAGTATTTGTGCTATTTTTGAGTGAAAAACTAAGGAAAATTGTGTTAATCACTAAAATGTGTGTACAGACACTGATACAATATGTCAAATGTATCTGCACCTGCAGAAGGTGACGTGATTTGCAAATAACGTCATAATAGACTTACTGACGCCTGGCCGTAGAAGTAGAATTTTTATTCGCATTAGTGTACTTCACATTGGCTGTCGTGTGAATGCAATTTAATTCGCATTAGTTTGATTCGCATTAGTTTACTTAGAATTAATTTACTGCGAATTAAACTCGACGTGTGAACAGGGCATTAGATTCCAAATGACAATGAAAACTGAACAATAGGTGAACGCTGAACACAAGGTGAACGCAAAGTGAACGGAACGAAGAGCGAACGCTGAACGCTTTGTAAACGGTAAACGCAAGCACACAGTGAGAGGTGAACGCAAAACTGTGAACGGAGAGTGAATGGTGAACGAACAGTGAAGGCACGCTGAACAAACGGTGAACGAACGAAAATGGGAAAGTGTTACGTTTCGGGGACTGTAATATGTTGAAATGGTATCTGGTGTATCAAAAATAGTACTGTATAAATATTACATCGTATAAGACATGGGTATATATACTGAATTGTGGGAATTGTTCTAATTCCCAGTGTTTTAAAATTATGCCTCCAGGAGAAGAAATGTCTTTTCAAGCCTCTTGATATTATACCACCCGCTTGAAAAGCAGGGAGGTATGTAGTGATGGGGTGTCCTCCCTTCTGTCCGTTTATTCGTCCGTCTGTCTCTACGTCCTCCCGCTGTTACGCTTTAGGACACCCAACCCTTATAATAAAAAGCTTTATATGATTGAAAACATTGATAATATTTGAGCTTGCGATCACAACTAAAATGTAGTTGAAGTAAGCTTTTTCGTTTTGAAAAAAAATCTCTCGTTACTATCAAAAGCAAAAATTATATTTCATGAATCAAATTCATAAATACCCAAAATTTTAAAGTATACAATTACTTAATATTGCATCGGGAGACCGAATTGCAAAACTAGCAACATGTGCTTTGAAATTCACACATTTTTTATGAGGTACAGATGAGTCAAAAAATGGACACCAAAAGAAAATCCCATTAATTATGCATCTTGCGCCAACAAGATTTTTTTAATTCCAGTTGCTTCAGGTCATCAAATCTCAGAAATACCTTGTGTATTCTACGTGTAATACACACAATCATTGTATACAGAATACGCATGCCTGCATATATGCCCAAAAATTTAGGGTTTTCTTTTTTTTATCCAATACTTGTGCCTGAGGTGCAATAATAAAATATTGTACAAAATAATATTGATGCTACATTCAATTTTATTAATACTGGTCCCATTTTAAAGCAGGTAACAATAAGGTCTTTGTTAGACTCATTATTACAAATGCATTTTAGAGAATTTTGAATTTAATGCTACAACTGGCAATGTAATTTATACTCATACGTAGTGCCCTTTCTAAGGAGGATTTTTTCAAAATCATATGTTTTTTTTAAGTATCTTTATGATTTTATGTCATACATATTTTTGTTGTTGAAAAAAAAAATCAATGTTTGCATCATTACTTTAACAAAATACTTCTAACAGACACGAATCGGTCTACGTTAGAAAATAAAAACAAACATACAATATTCATAAGGTTTTAGCAGACTTTACTCTTTTTGGAAAAGATTCTTTTCACTCGTTTTATGAGCATTTTTATCAATCCCTCACATTTAAGCAATAGATGTAAACACAGCAATCAACTAAAGCAAGCACGTTTATCTCTCAGTTTTAAAGGAATGAAATATATGAAGGTTACGAACAATATTCAAGATCAAAAGTCCATTCAAACAATACACTTCAGGAGTAGAGAAAACATGGACCTCTAAAACATCAGAGGTGGGATTAGGTGCTGAGTGAGCATCCCCTACCGACCGGTGACACCCGCCATATTATCCTTTTCATGATCGGGAAAAAATCATTCATTTGTTATTGATGTTTTTGAAACAATCCAAGACCTAACCACTCCTGCTTCAAATATGACATACCAAGAAGAAAATCATCTTGCTCCGTATTTTTCATAAGTCAAGTATGACCAGACCAAAAGCAAGCAAAGGAAATTCAGCACTTTTTGATTGGTCATGTTTAAAAGAGGACATAGGATGCAATGATGTATTGCAAGTATATAACACTGGAAAATATTTAACACATTGAACTTCCAAAGATGCTTTTCATCATAGAGTAACGCATCATACAAATAGCTCACCATTTTGTGGTTCTAATAGTATTCAGTAAAATGCACATGTCAAACAGGTAGAACTCCACTAACAGTTATTACTATTGATATTCATCACTAACTTTGGTGTTTTTTTTTTGCAACTACAAAATACTTACAGTTTTTGTAAATTTTGCAAACCGTTAAAGGCGTTGTTTTTAATCGTAGTTATTTTGTTGAAATCCAGTTGTCTAAAATAGATTTTTAAAACTATTTTATCGAGTGTTTTTGTTAGAAGCATTCAGTCTTTTGCCTTCAAAATCAAAAGAAATAAACATAATCTCCGAACATGTTTACAAGTATTAGTCTAAGTGATAGTTTACATGTGATTTATGTTATTTTAATTTCTTTAATGTTCATATCTTGTTTGATATGGCTATCGCTAACATACTTTTTTTCCAATAATTATAAATAACAAAATTTTCTACAAGCATTTTGTTTTTTTAAATGAAAATCAAACATAGGTGCAAAGTCGGAATAATGATTAA